CCGCAGGCTTTTTGAGTTCAGGGTGTTACGGCTGCAGGGCTTGAGCTCGAAAGGCTTACACCCAGAGATCCCAAACCTAAACGTCCCTGAGATTATTGCTGAGCCCACACCATCAGCCCATGTGCAGTAAGCTTCCGCCAGTTGATTGATGACCTTAACAAGCCCAAAAATCGTGCTGTACAGGCTTCTTGTTTGGTTTCGCGCCTCTGGAATCACGCCATGGCAAACCCTGCAAAGCCTGCAGGCCTGAATTTGCCACCGACGGAGCCACGCAGGCTGAAAAGCCGCTTGCGGTGCACTTGGAAAAGGATCCTTGGTGCCAGAACCCAGAAAGCCTAATTGAACCTTCCGCCAGCAATAATCAACCTTGTTGGCCCTCGGGTTGGGCTAATATAGAGGCCTTAATAAGTAGAATAGGGTTTGGGGGCCCATTAGCCTATAATTATAATAATAAGGAACCACCAAAATAGTTTAGGCTTAGGTAATTGTTGAGGCCCCTATATTAGTGTTCGGTTTAGGGTTTACAAGACTTGTTCTACCTACCTGAAGAGGCAGTTCTTGATTCAAGGATAAAGCCTCCAACGCTCCAAAAGCGCCCAATAAATATTAGCCCTGAAGCGGGTATTCTTTTCGTAGATGGAGCGTACATGATCAGCTTTAGGGAGCCAGCTTATTCTACCCAGATAGACACTCAATTGTAGCTACCCTGTCTTCTTCTTAAAGCACCAGAGGAAAGCCACCCAAAGGATTGCGACACTAAGTTCAAACAGCTTTCGTAGCACGGCGCACCATTGGTTCATGATTTAAAAACGGCTCCGGGCTGTGCCGCATAAACAGTTGCTCCCTGCGTACGTAAGTATGTATGCAACGCAACGCACATGTGCATGTATACATATATGTAGTGTTAAATTTCGTGATATTAGTCTTAGTGCTAACGGTATTCTTGGCATTGTTGGTATTATACACCTGTATACGCACATGTCGGTTGTGTGTGCCCCTCTACAACAGCATGTGCTTATGTACACAGAAAGTACTCACCGACACTCACAAGCAAGCAATCAATTTATCTATCTGCCTCTATGCGTCTCAATCTTTCTCACTCTATGCATACATGTATATACATGTACATATATATATATATATGTGTACATATAGATTGACCTGTTGACAAACTACCTAACTAACACACACAACCAAACTACATGATCAGCATTACCGAGCCCAAACTCACAAGTACCAGTTCCCCTAAACCTGAGCCCAAAACTCCAAGCCCCAAACCATCCGGAACCGTTACTCTTCAAGCAAGGCTCTCTGACGATCTTCTATGAACTGAGCACATACTCATACGGTCTTATGGCAAATCAAGACGAAACGGTAGAAAACCCTGCGCAACCCATAAGAACCTCTAAACTTCATAGAACCCTATGAGGCTAGGTCTGCAGGTCGTTTTTTATACTGTTCGGACAAGGGCTCGGCTTTTGTTGAGGGTTTCACTCTGAGATAAGGAAGGTCTCCGCTATGTCAGGTCATTCCGGGGTCCCCCTGCGAATAAAACATTCAGCATCAACTAACAAACAAATCAGGTCTGGGTTTTTTTCGGAGGATGCTTCTTCTGTCGGTGGTCTTTCCTTGGAAGGTTTGATTCAAGGTTCAGGGGCTGTAACCAGAAGCCCTAAACCCCCAAAAAGGGGTCAGGTGTCAAACGTAGTGTTTTTTTAGTCCTGACCTGACCCCAGAGCTTTTAGACATTTCGGATCCGTACTTTCTTGCCCACACAAGATTCGGGAGAATGCAGGGTTCTGCTGATAACAATGGCTGCTAGCCATAGAATGTCCTACAATGTTAATGGCAAGAGTACCCTGTTTTGCAGCACGGACTGAAGTGCCGGCACCAGCGCCCATGCAAGAGTACCCTAAACCCTAAACCTACCATAGAAAATATTTATTACGGTGAGAGAGAACTCCCCAAGGACCCCTAAACCCTAAACCTAAACCCTAAACCCCTAAACCCTAAACCCTAAACCCTAAACCCCTAAACCCTAAACCCCTAAACCCTAAACCCCTAACCCCTAAACCCGAGACCTCAGGCCGCCGGATCCTAAGACCATCCTTGTCAGGCGAAGGTCCGTATCCGGTCCATGGGGGCCGTGATCGTCTTGCTGACCTCGAGCTGAGGATTGAGGTTTAGCGCTTCGGGCTTTTTTTCAGTTTAGGCTTTAGTGTAGGGGTCTTAGTAATTAGAATAGGGTTTTGGGGCCCTTTTTACTATAATTATAATAAGGAGCCCCCTGGGTAGTATAGGTAATTCTTGTAAGGTCCCTATATTAGTTGGGTTTGGGGCTTGGGGTTTCGACTGTTAAGTTGCGACTCTCACTCTCGCACAAGTGGGGTTTAGGGCTGAGGGTGTAGGGTTTAGGGGTTATTGTAGGCTTTGGGGTTTGGGGGTCTTTTGAAGGCAATGACCTCTAGAGTTGAGGGTTTAGGGACCTCGAGTTCAAGGGTTTAGGTGTTTTTCGAAGACCACTGTTCATAAGGTTTTGGACTCTCAATAAGGTTCTAGGGTTTATAGGGTTTAGGGTTCAGGGGGGGCAACGGCTTGAGGAACTGATATCTTCTTGAGAACCCTGCGGGTTTATGCATTCGAACAGTATATACTTTGGCGTTGCAGTACTCCCTGTAAAAAGTACTTCGGGGTGCCCCAGGGTGGGCTATGCCTGACTACAGAATATAAGTTGCCGCTGCCGTGCACTGAAGTTTCTGTGGGATGACACTTAACATGTGAAAACGTTGATCAACATAAGCCTCGTTCTTGGTACAATCAGGTGAGAAATCGCAGTCTGGGGCAGCCGCAATGCCAGCGCCAGCACCCGCAATGAGCAGCTCTCCTGCAGGACTGGTGGTTCGCACTTTGAGGTCGCAGTTCTCACTGTTGCTGTTCATAAGTCCCAACAAGCTGGATACATCTACTGCTGCTCTCAATACGGATCAACATGGCCACAGCTCCGAGTAGTGGCCCGCCCACACGGGGCAGTACTATTAATGCCATCATTCTCATGATTATTGCCATGACTGCCTCTCTACTACGAAAGCTATCATGAATACTAGTATTACTTACTATAGTGATAACCAGTATATTACCATTATTAGAGTTACCAGTACTCTGACAAATATTGCTATAGTCGGATCTTTCTGTAGCAACTGCCGAACTCGGTCGCTTCGCCGCACTCTTCGGCCGTACTACAGCCGTGCAGCGATCGGCAAAGTCCCCACCCTCCGTCTCGGGGGATCGGTATACTTGTGTCGGTAACTATTTAGGCTTCTATATTACGATTACCCTGTGGCCCGTATATTTATAAGGACTCATATTGCAAGGTTCCGCGACCCGAAGGATGCATTGTCTAAGGTCTGAGGCTGGTGGGCTACGTCAACCCTGAAGGGTAGGGGTTTAAGATCAGGGCCCGTCATGCTGCTGCGGCAGCCTGTACAGAGCAGCCAACGTGCCTTGAAAACAGGAATATCTGATTGATTCTGAATTTCGTGCTTCTGACGTCGGTCCGAAGACACGTGCCGGGCATGTGCAGGCCCGAAGCCCAAACGACACCAATCCTCATCAGAGATGCCGCACTTGAGCACGACGACTCAACACACAGGTGGACATGCACCCACCTGCAATACTACGTACGTGTACATAGAGTGTACCCCACACCCTAAAGCCGCGTTGCCCAGAGACTTCCAGCTTGGGACATACCTCGACATACGCGTACATCCTGCACCCCGGATACCGACATCTCATATACCGAAACTTACGAAGCCCTCTAGCCGCTAGCATCATGATATAAAAAGGTTGGTGGTTTATGGTCGTTCCAAGAAGATGAAGCTTGGAGGGTAAAACGGAGGCGCTGGTTTTTTCGAGATGATTCTACGACCACCCGCTTCAGGAAACTACAATGGCCAAGTTTAGCGGATAAGCGTAGGCCGGCTCTCGAACTTCCCACCTCAAGTCACCAATGACAGTGCCAGAGCAGCAAATCTCGAGATGCATCTCTCCAGGAACCAAACTATATGCCCTAAGCCCTACCCAAGGGCTCCTATGTAGTTCCTTCTTGGATAGTATACTATAATTCCTTACCAAAGAACCATAACAGACCCAAAAAGGAGCCCCTGGGTAAGCCCTAGATGCCCTAAGCCCTAAGCCAGAGGCTCAGAAGGGCTCAGAAGATCTGACTCGCCATGTCCTTGGCTTCGGGCGGATAGCTGTGGAACGGGGTCCCGGCGATAAGCCAAAGGTGAACTCCTGCTTCGCATGGACGAGCCTAAATTAAACGGACGAGCCGGTTTAGGATTTGAGGATTGTGGGTTGCTTTAATCTCAAAATTAAGGTCCTCAAGTGGGACCCGAGTTTAGAGAACTACCCATATCTGGGCTGGGATCCTTTGGCATGACAAACGGGTAACCAAGATCGGGAACGACAGCTCTTGAAAATACAGGGGTCCGACCAATTGGGAATAGTATCTCCTCATCGTCCGGATATGATGATAATGATATTGTCATACACCCCGAAACTCCCGTACACTCAGTGTTTAGTCAGGGGTTCATAGAGTGGCGGATTTTCAATCTGCCTTGAGAAGAACGTACCTTCGAAGCTCAAAACCTTAAGCCCATACCCCCGGCGATCCCAGGTACAAGGTCAAGGATTCAGGGCACCTGAAAAGGCCAGGCTGATTTTGGAAACTCCCGTTTCTCAATATGGGCCTACTGACGAGGATCGACTACAGTAAAGCCCAGAAATTTTCGGAGACTTCAGACATCTGCTCCCGAACCGATACTGCAGAACATTGAGTTTCCTGCTCTCAGCTGCGCATCCACGGTTGCACAATCTCAACCATCCAATCCAAATTTCCAGCCTCTACCCACAAACCGGGAATCCCTTCCAATGCCGTGCAGCCACCCAACCCGAAAAGTTTTTGAAACACCCCTAAATCTCTTCATCCTAGCTTCAGCCTATGCGTGGGCGGTCGACGCCGCCGTACTTTGCAAAGTCGAAGTGCTTGCGCAGGTCCTCTGCTTCACGTATGTCTCAAGCTTTTTTGGGATTAATACGGGGGCCTAAAAAATAGAATAAGGTTTTTGAACATGTCAGACTGTGATGATTACAGTAAGGAATGACAAAACAGCATTTGTCATGATTTAGGCCCCATATTCGGGGTGTTATGCTCATCTGTGCTCAACAACTTCCCCTCCAGCAATTCCAGCACGAGCCACATTCGCTCTGGGAAACCAGGCTGGCCATTACAGCCTCTAAAATATTTTTGTATATAAGATCCTCTTAAGCCCAACAAGGGAAAATATGTAACATGCCAAGGGCCTACCTAGACAAACTACAGCGGACCTCCTACAGCACTGGACGATACGTTCGAGTGGAAGGGACGTCTTTCAAGCACTCCGAAGCGTCGAAGTATCCAAAAGTGATGAAACTCTGAACGCGAAGCCCTGAACCCTAAACCCATAAACCCTAAATACCTAAACCCATGTACTACACCCATGAACCCTAAACCTTAAAACCCTGAACCCTAAACCCTGGACCCAAACCCTCCAGGATAAGCTGGGAAGAAGGAGTCCAAAACCTGGCCTGCGGCCCAAGGATCGCCGAGCTATGCTTTTTCTTACAGAGTCCAAAAAGTGACAGCTTCGTAAAGGATCGCAAGTAGCTATTTGGGGGGGAAACTTACCTTAACCATAAAAGTAAATCCGATTGTTGAAACCCGATAATACTATATTGGTACTGAGGACCCTTTGAGTGTAGGCTTTGGGACATCGTCCGGGTCCTACCAAAGAAAGAGCGTACGTTCCACACACGCCGCAAACTCCTAGCTCAATCATGTGTCTCCTCCCGTTACAACCCGGAGCGCAAAACCCTGACAATAGGGGTAGACTAACTGACTAACCCTGAGCCCTGCATTGAGATTATACAATGGTCCGAATTATGCCCTAAACGTAGTAGCGTAAGACTAGCAGCGATAACCGTAAACCATAAACATAGTAGTTTCAACGTCACAAAAGCAACCCTGAGCGCTAAACAACAACGATGACTCTAGCCGTTAACCCGGAGGCAGCAGACACCCAAACCCTACACCTTATATCACCTTATGGCCGTACTCATAGGCCCCAAAATAGATCCTCTTGGTGGCTTATATCTCTAGGATCCTATTAGGTAATCCCAAAAAGGAACTACTATGGGGCCTATGGGTAGTCTTAAGAACGCCCCATGTTTTTTAGCCAAGCTTCTGCTGACTCGCCTCCGACGTCTCATGCGGGATTGCGGGGGGAAGCCGGCCAGTGGTGATCACCAAGTAGGGATGCAGTGGTCCACCCTGTCCAGGGCTTTTCAAGGCTTACAGTAGGGTTTAGGGTCCAGGGCTTTTATAGGTTTAGGGTTTAGAGTCCAGGGCTTTTATAGGTTTAGGGTTTAGGGTCCAGGGCTTTTATAGGTGTAGGGTTTAAGGTTTAGCGTCCAGGTCTTTTATAGCCGCTAGTTCAGGGATGCAGTGGTCCACCCTCTCCAGGGCTTACATATGGGCTACTAGAATAAGGTTCTGTAGAAGGGGCCTCAATAATTAGAATAGGGTTCTATATATGGGCTACTATATAAAGGGTTCTAGGAACGGGGTCTGCAGCATGTGCATGCTAGACTACAGAAAAGGAGCTATACAAAGGGATATGGCTGGTAATTATTCCGACCCCTATATTACGGGATGCGTGGGGCTTAGGGCAAAGGCTGGTGTGGGTCTGGGATTTGGATAAAGCGGGTGGGTGAGCGGTAGGTCTTCTAGCATCCTCGAGGTTTAGAAATTATTGTGAGCTTTGAACCCAAAACCCTACAACGGGATCAGTCAGATGAAAACGAATCGAGTCCGTCCGACCTCGTCCCTGCGTGCGTTCCAGACCGCCGTGTGGAGCTCGTTGTAGATCTCCTCGATCTCCAGGCTGCCAGGCCTCTCTGCTTCGGCATGTAGGGCTGCTAGCGTTTATGTGGTTAAGACAATAACAGGTTTAGGTTTAGGGTTTAGGGTTTAGGGTTCACATGGCTGCAATTCAATTTGGGATTAACTAGTAAGGCTAATTTTGTTTCCGCCCAAGGTCCAAAGCCTTCACCCGGGCTTTTCGGGCTGTTAGAACGTCTCGGGTTTTAGACGGCTTGGAGGGATATTAGGGAGCGTGAGGCTACCAGGCCTGCTGTCCAAGGCTTCCAGGAATTTCCTGGTCAAAAGATCGCCTGGGCACACGGACGGAAACGGCTTGGGGGGTTTAAGATTGTGGTTTAATTTCGATTTGGGGTTGAAGGTGTAGGGCTTCAATTTGGGGGTGTTGTGGGTAGGGAACTGTGGTTTCAGTACCGGATCCCAGCATCTAGACTGAAGTTGCCGAAGGGGCTCCGTTCTGCTCGTCGCCGGCGACTTCTCCACCGGGGGCTGCGGCAAACAGCATCCACACTTGAGGATCACTACGGCGGCGAAGCATCCTCGTAGAAAGTCTTGCGGAATCGAGCTCCTGCATGCGAGTGAGCCAAAAACCCTTTGCAACCCTTACACAGGAATCACGTGGGGTTCCTATGTAGTGCTTAGTTTCCTATGTAATGCTTAGATTACAGCAAGATACAAACAGGCGTCACGCTACACACCTAAGTCGATGTCCGGTGCTGCGGGGTGCGAAGGCGGTTTAAAGGTTCGGCGCTAACACTCGGACAAGCCAGGCGAGGTTATTGGCTTAGGGTTTATGATTTTAGGGTTGTGGGCAGCTTCTTCTGGGACAAATATTGGCTTTATTTCAGGAGAAACGGTCACCTCGCTCTGAAGCGCCAGCTGCACCCTCCGGCAGCACCGGCACCATCGGTCGATTCTTCCCGCATTCGTCAGGCAGCCGTTCACGATGATATAGAAGCGAGCATTCCTGGGTCGGACTGCATCCAGTTGTCGCACCAGCCAGGATAAGGAAACTCCATCACCCCATCCTCGTGCATCAGCGGGTAGGAATTGTGGATCGTTATCCATCATCTGGGAATGGCATGAGATGTAGATCCTGGCTGTGCTTCGGCAGGAGCTGTTCGAGCTCAGGCAGTTTGGAACACAAGAACTTCCTATGATGGAACCATCAATGGGAGTTCCCTAAACCCAAGGTGTTACGTCTAGACTCCCTCCTTGTCTTGGTTTCCTTGCTTGTCTTACAGGATCCAAACCAGAAAACCGGAACACCAAGGACAGGAACTAAATCCAGAATTATATAGGGGCCTTAATACTTAGAAAAGGGTTTGGGCGTATATGATACTACAAACATAATCAGGAACCCCCAAAACCCCATTCAAGTTAAACGCATGCAGGTGTCAGCACTTTTGCATCGTCTAAACCGTGCAGCTTTGCCACCAGGAGGTCTACCAAAGAGTCAACGTTCCTCTCCATGAGGTCCGGCCATGTTACCACCTTCCCGTGCACGGTATTGGTATGTTGGTTTAACTTAGTTCTGGTAGTGACTAATGCGATCATCCTCGTGAAGACCTGCATGTAGACTTAGGCATACATGCATGTTCGTGTAAACATGTGCATATATAAGTTATATATAAACACGCACACACACTAGCACTGCCAGTGCATGCATGCATGAATGTACGAAAGAATGAGCATGTGTGCCTTTGTATTCGTTCTCAAGTCTGCTGTCCGTGCTGCAGCGATGACGTAATTAAGGTCGAAGCTTTACATGTACTGATCTGTTACTATCTATTCTTTGTCTTGGCTCCCCTTGGGTACAGAAGGAAAGCACGGTAATCAGAACAAGAGACTGCGGTGGAAGCTCATTATAGGTCTACCCTATACGCCTCCAACATGATATGTCATATGTGGCAGATGCTACTCCAAAAAGGGCCTAGAATGAAGTGAGCAGCTCATCTGAGGTCCTCAACGTCACATCCAGCTAGGTTCCGAAGAGCCCCCTTCTTTCTCTTGGCCGACCTATGAAGGATCATGACTGTTGTCAATGTTCGGAAACGGCAAGTCACATCACAGCAAGAGAAGTCGCATGGCATCCTCCTACAACGAAGTCAAACCCATCCAAACGCAATGAACAGTCTCATTGGGAGCAAAAATTCTAAGAATGGATTTGCGTCCGTCACGCAGGTATTCCGATGGTTTTCAGTCTCCCATGACCCATCTATGTTTAAACAGTATACACAGCTCGGATGTCCGTCCAACCTGAATTTAGCCGGTTGTCAAATCCATGGCAGCAGCAAGTCCGAGGAACAGCACTCAGGTAATCTTGGGAGAGCAACCCTAAACCCTAAACCTCCAGCAATGTGTGAATACTAGCCTCCATCAAAAATCTTATGGTAGCAATTATCAATATCATAAATAGATAATAATAAGTATATATGTATATATACAAATTAGAGTTACGGCCTACTACCGTATATTATAGTATATTTTGTGTAGCTCTCGTCTGCACATACCTGAGGCCCAAAAAAAGGTTCATTGTCTATCGCGTTGGGCTGGGGTTTACCATAGGGGCCTTAATAATTTCAAAAGGGTTTTGAGGTATATCAACTATAATTATACTAAGAAGATCCAAAGACCCTATTCAAATTAATAAGGCCCCTCCATTATGTTTATGTAGGGTTTGGGGTTGATACAGGCTTTGTTTTCGGGTGTAAAGAGTTAGGGCACACAGGCTACCTGCTACTTATTTCGCAGCTACGAGCTCATCGAAACTAGAATCGAGATCGTACTGGCCAAGCCTCCCAATCAGCACCTTGGATGCGAAGGGGCTTGATTACTTGTTCGGCACATAGTTCAAACCGGGTATGTAACTCCTCTCCAAAAGGCTCAAATTTTGCAGATGCACCTACAGAGCTGAACAGGCGTCAGGGGGAGGGGCTCGACCCCGAACCCACATCTAGGCCTGAAGATCAGATAATTATAACCCTGTACACCCCAGCATCTCATTCAAACACTTACGGTCCCAGTACTTAACCCTAAACCCTGAAATCTTTCAAAAACTTGTCAGAGCCGGAGAGCCTGCTCTGCCCAAACCTCAACCCTAACCTAACGCGCAACCCTACCTGGCCCTACATGTTACCGGGGCGTTAATAATCAGAATAGGGTGTATTGAGGTATATGACACGAACACTTTTAGTACAAAGTATTCAGGCCTCTGTACTGAGTCATCTGTTCATTGGCAGCCGTGCGTGTGTCGACTGTTGGGCTGAGAACGCAGGGAATTGATCCCAAGTCGCTAGACTCGTTCCGTGCTTTTTCGTAGGGAGGCTTAATAGTCACGTATGCAGTCGAAAAGGGCTTGCAAGTCAGTATAATCACCTTACTATCTCGTGAGTATAGTAGGGATATATGGGGCTGTACGGACAGTTATATGGGCTTTACAAATCTGTTGTGGGGTTTCATTCGAATTGGGTTTTGGGGTATCGCGGATGGAGGCCTGCAAATCTAGCTTGAACAGAGAGGGTTCTAGCATTGGCTCCAAGTCAAACAGCCATATACGGACTTTGCATGGTTATCCTTAATCACGAGCTTTGCAGACATTGAATTTGACCTTTCTTCACACTCTCTTTGCCGTCATTCTTGCCGTTGTGTGCCACTGCTGCCGCAGCGCAAGATGTTGTCGCTGCGGTGCTGTCATCCAGACATGCTTCGCAAATCCCTCTCATGTTCTGATGTAAGGTGCCCCCACACCCTAAACCAACTTGACATTGCTCAAACCCCATCCGGAAGGAGCCCACCAGTCGGACCTGAAAGGTGAAAGTAATTTGAGCAAGCACGTCGACAAAGTCTCCGTGGTGTGTTGGCTTTGGATGGGTGCAGCCTGGACGAGCATATGATGCCAATGAAGTGATAACTTCGGGACAACAGCCGTGCAAAACAGGCCTTCGGATACTGGGAACGAGGATTCCTTCCCAGCGTCGTTCTTAACTATTGCAAAAAAACTTTCCCAGAAACCACATGTGAACTGCCTGATCTGCAGCTGACATCAGCCGGTGCACTGCGGCGCTGCATGTTCTCGCAAAGTGCACCCCAACTCTTGTCCACGACTCGAGGCCAGTGGGCGTACTCCTGCAAATTGTGCTCTGCTTCCAGGTATCCCTTGCAGCTGGAACTGCCCCATCGTTGCTTCCGCGGGGTACCCGAATCTAAACCCCTAAATATCTCCTTTCAACACCAGACACTGCACCCCCTCTTCTATCTAAAACCCCCAAATCCTGTGACCCTAACTGCGGCTCTCACCAACATGTCTTTCACGAACCAAGCATACTATAGTATAGGGGCTACAACAACAAGAATAGGGTTTGGCAGGTATAGCATAGCCAAAGGTTGACGGTTGAGTGTTTACAAGTGATTTGAGCGTGATTGTACTAAGGCAATTCCGGAGGAATAATGTTAGTGAGTACTCCCGCTTCTGTATCAAGCTGCACAGCTTGGGCTAGTAGAAACGATGAGCCTGGGCAGAAATATCCTTTTCCGCAATGGTCACATTACCGACCCTAAACCCTAAACCCTCTTAAGCAAACCCCTAAACCCTAAACCCTTAAGCATGGGCATGGATTGTGAGCCCTAAGCCCTAAGCCTTGACCCTTGACCCGAGCGAATGGCTCGCAATCCACCAGTCGATCTCCACGAACACAAGACACTCACGGGCACCACAATGCACTTTCCACACTAATTATGTAGGAACTTGGGCTTGTTGGGGCATGGATCCTTTCCTGAATGTTGATGAGCACCGCAATACGGCTTTTGGTGTTGCCGGCGGCGGGTCGCACGCGCCACTGCCGACACCACATCCAGCGCCCGACCCGAATGACACCTGGCAGCAGCGCAGCCCGCCTTGAGAAAGTCTGAATCCGAAGCCTCAGTTCCCGAAACACTGAATCCTTGCGTGGCAAGCGCGACAGGCATTGACATTCCGCAAGTTCTCCGGGACGTAGGATAGGCTGTTCTCTGCTTGCACCCCAAACTTCAAGCCCAACCCCGATCCTTAATCAAACCCTAAATCCCTGATTATGATCCTACATCCCAAAAACTCAATGATTTTCCTTGGCCCATTGCGGGGCTGAGGATCTCAGGAGGATGTGGGGCTTAGGGATGTGAAGGTCGGTGGCTTCGGGCTTTAGGCTTTACAGTTTGGTGGTTTAGGCTTTAGGGTTTAGGCTCTAGGGCTTAAGGTTTAAGATTTACACTCTCACAACTCGGACAAGCCAGGCGAGGATCCATAGGTGCATAAGTCGGCGTGACACTGTAAGCTGCCCATGCATGCCACTATTCAAACCAAACGAAAAAACTTTACAAAACAAACCTCAGCTTACACTCCAACGTGGATGATTTAGGGTTTAGAGTTATGGGTTTGGGCTTTGGGGTTATGTGGGAACCAACAAAGTCAAAAGCCATACTTCACAACTACCTCACAGATGAGTCTCTGAACGTCTCCTGTACCAACGTATGTGTTGGGCTTCTACTTTCGGAACTAGCAAGTTCATAGTCTAGTCTAGCTACCGGCCCAAACGACGGCTAAGGTCACATGTTATCTACGACTCAGCCACCGAAAAGCTCCCTAAATCCCTTAACCCGGCAAGCCCCGGCAAGAAGCGAGCAAGCCCTGGCCGGTCGACAGCAGCGAAAGCAAAGAGCTGTAGAGTAACGCGCAAGCTGCAAGAAGCAGTCTTTCGGCAAAAGGCAGCCTCGGAGGCCATGCAATATCTGCTATACGGTTTAAGCTTTAGAGTTCCAGAACGACCAAGAGTCCACCTCAGAGTAGACCCTTTACACGGCAAACCCGGCAAAACACAAACGAAACCCCTGGCCCAGTCTAGGCACACGGACCCTTATGGTGCCTTAGTTTCCGAAACTCTGAGCTGTCCACGTCGTCTCCCACAGGTCGAACATCACAGTGGCCAGTGTCATGGAGTACCTCAGCCAGTGGCACCATATCGGAATTCATGAGAAATTTGGGTTTCGGGCTTAGAGGGTCTGCAGAGTGTCGGGTTTGTAGTGGACGGTTTACAGGCCATGGGCGTAATTATCGGGGTTCGCGGACTCTAGCCTGATAGCCGAAACAGCAACGTGCGCCAAGTGGAGCCCCAGAAGCAGCACACAAAGCAGCATGGCATGGCGGCGGGCTTTGCAAAGACTCCGGCAAGAGCTGCGCCGACCTGTGCCTAAGTTCTGGCGCAACCGCTGAATCTTCTTTCCCATCTTCGTTCCCTGCTTGGCCATGGCCCCACCATGAATGATCATCTCTGAGAAAACCCTAACCCCCCAGTTACCTGCTATATAGGGTACTTGAGCCCCTAAGGCCCTATATAGTAGGTACCTGGGGGGTTAGGGCTCTTTCGAGGAACAAAGAGCAGTGTATTATAATTCCTTACCAAAAAACCATAAGAGACCCAAAAAGGAACTACATTGGAGCCCCTGGGTAATGATCATCTCTGAGAAAAGGCCGAGACGCAAGATGAGCACCAGCGTTCCTGCGCCGCTGCGGCTGCCAGGACACAAGCGAGGTTCAGCCTTGGCCCGAAACACGCGGTACGGTTTAGGGTTTAGGGTTTAGGGTTTAGGGTTTACACTCTCACAACTCGGACAAGCCAGGCGAGGATCCATAGGTGCATGAGTCGGCGTGACACTGTAAGCTGCCCATGCATGCTACTATCCAAAACTAAAACCATAGAATTACAAGTAAACTCAGCATACA